CGCCCTGGGTGTGGGGGGCGGGGCCCTTTAGCGGGGGGGGGGGGGGGGGTGCAGCGGCGGGGGAGGGAGCACGTGCCGCGAGAAAGGCAGCGGAGGTGCCAGCCGTGGCGGGGGTGGGCACGGTGGCGGGGCATACGGCGGGGCCAAGAGCGTACCCGGCGGAGCCCGGAAGGAACGGGCAATAGCCGAAGACAGAATACGCGATGTACAAGGAGGACCATGTACCGAATGGGTAACCCGTGCCGGCATCGGCACTCAGAAGGGGGGGGCACCGGAAAGGGCCTCATCGCCCACACGGCCATGGCCATAGATCCGCCGACAGCTGGCTGCAACCACGCGGGCAAGCTATGATCGATTGTGCACAGCTCACAATGATAGCTTGTATGGCACTCACAGACAATCTCCGCCTCTAGAATTCTGGCCGTGACCTGCCACGTGGCACACACGTAGAAGGGGGTATGCCTGCTTGCTGCACAGCAGTGCGAGGCTTTGTGTTGGGGCACCCCAGACCTCGATATTCTATTTGTTCACACCACATAGTAGCTCGTATAGCAGACACAGAGCAGACACAGACAAGCTTTGCGTCTAGAAAATTGAGCACAAGCAGACGGTACTTTTTCTTACGCGGAAACGGGTGACTCTCCGTGAACGAAGAAAAAAACGGCATGCAGAGCAAATTCAAGCGGCAGCACGATGAAGCAACAAGCGCCTCTGGCTGAGTGTTCTTGTTACCCACGTACTGTTCGTGTTTCGGAATGCGATACCACTGTAATGCCTAAAGGACGTAGTGTGGACGTATTATGGAGAAACCTACACACCCCTGCAATCTAGTCTACGGGTTTAGTATGCCAAACTAAATCCTGCTTGTACAATGAATGGTATTGCACAGGTTTTAGAATGCGACATGCCTAACAAGAAGAGTAGGTTTTACTTCGACATCGATGCACCGAATTTCTTTTTTGGGTACTTCGTACTTCGAGTATCTTTTTTAAGGGAAGAGGGTACACCGCCGCAACCCTCCCCCCCAAACGCCAAACAAAGTCCAATGTAAAAAAGCATGCTATTTTCTACCATATCAAAAGGGGCACTCTGTCTAATATCGGGGGTTGTGGTGCATCTGCGTGCCCCCTAGCCATGTACGCTCAGCTCGTGCGCGCCCGCCGCGCTGCACTCTGTCTTGCGTACCTTGACGACGAGAGCGAGAGCATGATCAAGACACAGGGGGGATCATAGGCCAAGCCCAGACTGATGCGTCGCAAGAGTAGCCGAAAATGTTCCCCGACACCTGAGTATAGACGTAGACGCGGAGTCCAGCGAAGAGAGTGAGAGGGGCAGTGAGGGAGAGTGGCGGGGGTGGGGGTAGGGGTAGGGAGAAGACGGAGGGGGAAGCGGACGAAGAGGAGGAGGAGGAGGAGGAGGAGGAGGAGGAGGAGGAGGAGGAGGAGGAGGTGAAGGAGGAGGAGGAGGAGGAGGAGAAGGAAGAGAAGCCCGACGTACGCTCGAGGAGGCGTAAACGCACCCCGAACCAGCGTTGTGTTGGCGCAATACTGCCCCAGGCTTTTAATATCACTCAGAACTCATTCGCGGATGTGGTGTGGATGATGTGGGTGATGGTCGTGTGGTTCCAAACAACACGATCATAGCGAAGGCACCTGAAGCGCATTGTTGCCGCACGGCAGTGTTTCATCTGCGTGCGACAGGTTAAACAGGGTAGACGTGCCTTATTGAACGCAGCCGATGAAAAAGATGGCAGAAAAAACGTTAAGTACCACGTAAAAAAAGAAAAACTCAAATTGTACCCTCCCGGGGAGATTTTAGGTGTGCAGGCAGCTTGTTCGTTGTTTTTTTTTTTTTCTTGATATGACACAACGAATCCATCTCTATCAAAGAAAAGAGTCAGAGACAGATTAGCAATGAATTCATTGCGTCGGAAAAAGCTACCTGTATGTCTACGATTTCCCAGACAGCATATAGGGACATCTCCCCTGCGGGAAACAGGCTCAACAAAACAGTTTAGTAGCTGTCTTGTGTGTCTCATATATGTTGGGAAGGCGCAGAAGAAAGGTGTTGGGTACTGTTGGGTCGTCGGACGCTTTATGTGTGGCACCCTGTTAGTCGTAGGGCATGCAATCTCTCTCAGTTTTCAAACGTATTTATTTTCAGTGTGGTACGCATATGTACGGAGTATGCATACGTGCGGACACATTTCGGAGTTTGTACGGACACACGGGAGTGGTCTCACCATCTTCTTACCGTGTTGTGTAATTTCGTGTCGTTCAATGTGCGAAGGGCACGGGAGAACATTCTCTCATCATTGCCTCCTGACGTGGTCGCCGATAGAGGCGTGTGGTTGAGGTTTCATCACCGACATGTGGGTGTGTGTGTGTTAAATGCAGTGGGTATGGTTACCTATCTCGCCCGTGTGTAGGCAGAAGGTATGGCTACCTCTCCCATTTGTAGGCAGCGTGGACCACAAGTAAGTAAAGACAGAGTTTATCATTTCATGCATGGTACATCATTTGAATTTGGCATGGGAGGAATGAGAGGTTGTTCTAGATTGTAAGCAATTTTGACGGTGTATGGGCAGGGGGAGTACTCCCTGTGTCCATGTTGTGCCCAGATGTTGTCGCATCAGTTGGCAGCACGTGTCATGGACAGGTAGACGTGGAAGGGCGGCAACAGGTGAAGGCAGCAGCAGTATGTTGTGCATGGTGGCATGTTGGGCTTGTACATAACGCAGTCCATCTTCGACCACACACAAAGGAGTTTATTCGTACCTGTGGGGATTTTTCGAAGTCCTGGGTCAGCCAAGAGCAGCAGCAAGGAGTAGACGCAGTGCAGTATACTACTACCGCTTTACAGTTCGTCCTCCTCAAGTCCTATCGGAGATTATTAGTATCGCACAACGGCTGGATCCGAAATGCCGGCTAGCTCCGCAATCCAAGAGAGGTGGGTGCTCCTCTCAGCAGATAGATGTGTCTGGCTGGCTCTTTGAAGTGCAGATTTCTGGTTCAGCGGAATTTGTCGGCATTCCCAGTTTTTCCGTTGTTACCTGGGTGTATGGGAATTTTTATGAAAGGTGCACAGAAATCGATTATCCTAATTGCAAGGGACACGTTTCATTTTCAGTGTTCCCCCTTGCGGTTTCGACGGTCAAATATGCGGTTGCCCACAGATTTTCGCACCGCTCTAAGCTATCAGGTTCCTAATGAAGTATGTGTGTGCAGTGTTGGTACCGCAAAAAGCAATTTAAACGGGATTTTTACGTCATTAATTACATACAGGCGTTCTTATTTTTCACATAGACATCACGGTGTACGAACACAACATAACAACACTTCAGGAAATGCTCAGCAAAGGAACGAAACACTTCCCAATAAAGCAAAACACAATCAAAACAAAAGCAGCACATGATAGCACGCAAGCTAATCTACCAAGAATAGTCCTTCGTATCTATTCGCTTCCAAATATCCAGCTCCACTTTCTTCCATGCGAATTCCGCACCGTAGGTGCATTTATACCCACAATGTTTGCAGTCACTGGCGAGGTACGAAATAAGGTTACATGATATTGTGTAAAGTATTACGTATAAGTCCACTAGAATAGTAACGTGCAAGCATGTTAGCCATCAATCTGGCTGTGGCAGCTTGAAAAAATCGAATATCAGTACATCTAATCGCAAATCGGCATATATATTTGACAGTGTAACGTCGACATTTTACACCTAGTAGACAACACTGTTTCCCAATTCGGGAATGCCCGATATTGCTTCAATGTAGCCATATGTTGGCGCTTATTATACATACCAATACAAGTCTTACCAGGAACGTCTTGCCCTATTTGCATATCCAGAAAGTGTGCTGATTCCCCACACCATCACCATCCATATCTAGCACCATCGTTGGGTACATACCACCATACATATTGATTACCCTCCTTATTATAAATAATATCTTCAAATGTTGATCCAGTCTG